TATTAGAGTCAAAACCTTAGCGTCAGAATATAAAAGTAAAAAAAGTGGGTGTCAGGCAATGAGTGTCTAAATATAAGTCATATATTATGCTTGATCACCGATTTTAGCCTTTATATGACCCTCATTGCTTGACACCCACTTTTTTTACTTTTATATTCCGACTCTAATTTTTTGATCCTAATATTTTGACCCTCTTCTTTTAACCCTAACAGTCTGACCTTCATTCCTACACTGATAGGATGATTAATTTATTCCAAACGAGATTCGTTAACTATTAACGAATGGTAGAGCTGAATATGACCAAATGAATATTCGTTAATAGTTCACGAATGGTTCACTTGAATGGCGAAAGTCAAGTCAAACAAGGCTCCTCAAATATACATTCGTTAACTATTAACGAATGAACATTTGGTGGGACCGAATAGACCCTAACCTCCAACCAAAATCCCTTCGTTAACAATAACTAATCCGTTCTATCAATTATTGAAATCATTGATCAATATAACATGATCGCCCCCCCCCCTGATGATCGCCCGAAAATTTTAGTGACTGGTTTCCTCAATAGATCGTTCCCCCGTCAAAACTATCGTCAATGATTTTCAACAATCAAATGTCAAGACAAAAATTCTTGCACTAATCAAACTGAATTTTTTGGCCAATAAAAAATTCCATGCCCCTCAAAAATAATGTCAAATATCCAATTATTAGATTAGTAGATTATTAGATTGATAGACCGTTTCTCCGTCAAAGCTACCCTATCTCATTTCTATCAATCGAATCTCAATAAAACAAATTCCCTGACTGCTCAAACCGAATTTCCCTTGCAATAAAAAATTCCATTCCCCCAAAAAATAATATCAAAAATCCAACTTATAATTCCTTTTCACTCCAAGTAAAATAATTGCACTGCTGAAAAAAATAACCTCCCTACCAATTCATGCAGTTTCATATTCTTCCTAACACCAGTATTACACGAACGAGGGGAAGAGTAGCCATACCGGGTGTTCGTTAATTTTCTTTAATTAAGCTCAATCGAGGTTAATGTACAGCTGTTTAACCCCAGTTTAACAAATCCAGCACCCCCATGGGCGCCAAGTAACAAAGAATGTTGTAACAGACTATTCATCCCGAAAGACACCTACTCTTGAATTGTCCTGAAACGCCAGACGCGCCGATGACACGTTGAATGTGACGCGGAACGATTTTTGCAGTTGACTGCACGCAGAGCATAGATTACTTAATTTTTCCAGGTCGTTGGACGAATGATCATTTCGAATGTTCCGGGGGGAAACTTTGGTGGCTTCCCTGATGGGAAACACCCTCATGCACCTCTATGATCTCCCCGTTCCATGGACGATGGGGGAGCCAGACTTATTCACTCATCCCTAAACGTGAAATTCGATTTTATTTCTGTTTTTATGAGATTATACATGGCTTTATTCAATTAAATAAGAGTGGTATTCCTTCCGTTTCCGTTGATTCTAATTGGATTTAGTTCTTTGGAAATTATCATGGGATTGGGATTATCTATGGAAATCTACTCTTATTCAACAATTGACATGATTGGGGAAGGAAAATGAGGGTGACATTATTATTATTATTTTTATTCATATTTCATTTCTACTACCCGGAGAAAATAAAATAGTAAAAATTCCTATGGCGAATTCAGCACACAGTAATAAACTGTAACCATTTGTGTTTATTTAGGTAATTAGGGGAGGGTGGGGCAAATCGGCCCCCCTTCAATTGTCAATAACTTGTGAATGACATTGTGAAAATTCCCAGTTTTAACTTCATTTTGAAGATAATTTTTCATTCTTCAAAACGAGCTCTAACTCATCCCAATCGGATTATTGAATCGGAAAATATTGACGATTGAAGGGGGGCCGTTTTGCCCCATCCTCCCCTAATATTATATGTCGTGAAATAAGATGAATTGAACATTATATAATTTACCTTAATTATTTATTTGAATATTCTAAATGAGGAGGTCATAATATTCTAATTCGTTTTTATTACTTTTGTACCCAAGTAGATTCTTTTTTTTCAATATTATGCAATTTGTATATCAAAATTTATATTCCTTAAATCTTAACGGGAGGAACTATTATGTGAAATAAATAAATAAATATAATTTGCTCATGCTTCCACATACAATTAAATGGACAAATACAAATAGTAATGAGTAAACGAACCGTGCACGGTAAAGGTTGGGAAGCAAGAGAGCAAGTTCAGTTGAGTAAGGTGCGAAGTGACTCGCCAAATTTGGAGAAATTAATAAATTCTTTTACTCGTCCAGAGCAATTGACGCGGGACATTCGAAGGTCAATTGAACCATTACAAAATTTTGCCAATATTTAAAAAGTATTACTATGGCCATAGCAATGGGTACCAAGGAACATCGTAATAGTTACGGTAAGCACCTCAATGGTAATAGGTTCTATGGACGTGGGAATAATTACTATGCTACATAGTAAAGCTTACTAAGATACATGGTAGAACTTTGTGTGTTACGATGGCATAACCAATATAACGCATCATAATGAAAGAGAATAAATAAGGAATAATTTCCATTGAATACAGACTTCATTATTTAGAAGAGGGATAATTATTTAGATAGCGAAGAAGCAGAATTCATTAATAATCCATTACTGGAATCAAATAAATTGTTGATTTCATTGTAATTGAGGATCTACGTCTAATAAATGTACTTGAAATAATAAATGGACAGAAAAGAGCCCATTTTGTCGCTTCTAGTTTCCGAGAATTTCATGTTTTTGTTTCTGTATCTCTCATTTAAACCAATGGTAAATGATTTTTTGATGATGTTTATGCTCGCTCAATATTGGTAGGCCAAATGCCTGAAATTCTCCGATTTTTACGGAAATTGGTCACTTTTATCCCGTCAGCACTCGCGGTGTATGATTTTCTTTTGCAAAAATTTTCAGGGTATAGGGAACAAAGTAAAAAATTTCAGATTTTGGACTGAAACTTTTTAATTGCCTCAAGCAACTATTCCTCCTTCCTTTGGGGTCCATAAAAACCATCTAGGACATTTCAGTAAATTATAATAAAATATTTTATCGAGCTCGGATGAAGTGCGTGTGAGATTCTCTCGCGGTGCGAGTAAAGGTTCTCGGAAGGGACGCGTGTGCTGCTCATTCTCGGCGAGAGTGCTGGAATCCGTATTTTTGGTTAGAACAAAAAATATCAATGAAACATTGTGAGCATTACCATGGAAAATTGTAACCATTACTATGGAAAATGGTAAGCATTACCGTGGAACATGCTAGGGGAGGGTGTGCCTGTACCGCCCACCTAAGGGGAAATGCCAGTTTTATATTTTATATTTCAACTTGAGTATAAAAAACGTATTTGTGAGACTTCTTTAACTATTGAACTCGTTATTCTCGAAGTGTAGACGCCTAATTCTCCTTAGAATCCACAAAATTGATTGAAAATAGAAGAGAGAGCCTATTGAGCGCTACTACCCGCCGTCGAGTAATACCGCTCGGCACGATTCCAATGCCGCTCATAGGGCTTTTCGTGGCCGATCCTATGAGCGGTATTACCGGCTCCGCTCGGCGTCAACAAAATTGTTGATAATTATTGACGTGAGTGGAGTTTCGAGTTCGAATTGGTCTTAAATTACGCGTGAAATTACCTCGAATCAAATAACCACAGTTTAATATGAAAATTCAGCGTTTAAAACTATCAAAAACCTTAATTAAAAGTCCACAAATTTTGCACTGTAAAGACCTCAAAACTTCGTTACGTGTTTTTTCATATTTAAAGTGGTAAATAAAGTGAAAATTTTCCGACAATCACATCCTATCATCAAATTCTTCATGATCAGGAACAGAAAGACATTTTTAAGTTGATGGTTGTGGAGAAAATCGGCTGAGCGGTATTACCCGATGAGCGGTACAGGCACACCCTACCCTAGGCATTTCATTTCATCGGTCATCTTGCTGTTATTTTCTTTATTCTGATCCATTATCTAATTCACCTTATCCCAACAAAACTAGAACCTCTCTCCACGACATCCAATATTCTGAATATTCTGAATAGTTTACTTTTCGGTTTTTTTGCCATTAGGAGACGATGCCTCGGAAGCGGCCGAGCGACGAAAAATAAATATGAGGGGAAATGCGACTGTAACGAGTGCGACTTTAACGGGAGTCTACTGTGCAAACATTTTTATTAAAGAATTTTATTTTATTCAAATACATCATTTCTCTGGATGTAGCTTCCTGCAAAAGCTCTTGCTGCGCAAGATCAAATAATTGAAAAAAAACTCTTTTCCTTTGAATTTTCCTTTGGTGCTATCAGTTCCCTACACTTTTTCAAACAGTTTATTTTGAATTTTCAAGCAATATAGAAAATAACAAATCAATCTCATTCACTCTGATTTCCAATTACTTCAACTCTCAAGCGCATTACCATTTATATTGAAATAAAAATTATACGAAATTTGAATGAAAATAAAGTCCTATAACTCCTTGCGTGGCATGACTGCCTCGTGAAAGCCGAGACACAGAGATATCTAAGATGCATATCACGAGACAGAATGCCTAAGGGAGAGCGTCACAGTGTTATAATATTACCCATATCGAGCGATTCACCCAAGGGACTTTATTACGACACATAAATACGACAATCTAATCTGGTAGCTGAGACGAAACGGACAAATAGGTCTGTGGCTCGAGTTTATCTCGATCCTCAGCTGTTTCGGCACCATCAGATCTGTCTGGCTAGACGTACGAATTAAAATTAATCAGGCACAGGGTTGAAGATAATTTTTACTGGTGGGTCACATCCGCTTTTAGGAAAAGACTAATTTTTCAAACAGATTTAATTGCTGGGGATTTCGAGGAACTTTGGTATTATCTCATTACGCGTATCCTATGCCTATGTGGCTATGTATCCGCCGGAAATGTTGCGAATCATGGTGTTTATTAGGAAATTCATTAACCGGGAAATTCCAATTTTCGTTTCAGGATGACGAGGACTGAATCAGTGATGAGCATGGAGAATCTAACTACTTATTGGATGCCCCGGGTTGCCGAGGCTGCCAATCACACGATGATGGAGGCATCAAGGTGAGATTTGCTCAATTGGTGGCAGATGAATGTTCACTTATAAGAAAAATTGAGATGAATACCGTACTGGTACCAGTTATCCAATAGTTAAGGGGCACACACCCATCAATATCAGATCCACGGAGACAAAAATTCAATAAAAATTACCAGAAAAATATGTAAGAATTACATTTTGAAGGGAATTACGTTTTTGATCCGCGAGCGAAGTAAAATTCGATAAAATGGGTGAGTCGGAACTGAAAATGTACGAATTGCCACATAAATTCTACGATTTGTTCCGTAAAAATTAACCACCCGTCTGATGACTCACCGCTGTGGGGACAACAAGTCATTCCGTAATTTTTCCCCAACGATTGAGAAACTGTACGGAACGAAACGTGGAAATAACTCACCAGCTTCATAAAAATTGTTGAACGTTCAAGAATTTTTGATTTTGGAGGCATAATAAGTCGGCAAGTTTCTGTAAGATTTGACTTCTTCGGGAAAAATTCCGTACTTTGGTTGGTAATGAACCTGAAAATTCACTGAATGTTTCAGATTTTTTCTCTTCAATTCCTATAAAAATTGCCGGCAAACGACTCCCCATTGCGGATTACATAAATTGTTCCGTAATTTTTACTGAATATTTTTCTCCGTGTCCGTGTTTTTGCCCACAAAATGTGAAATATCAACTTTTAGAAGTCAATTCGGGTATTTTTCCGATAGAAAGACACTTGATTTTGATTGAGAAAGATAGGAATTGAATGAATATTCGCGAAAATAAAACATAGTGCCCCGAACCGAAGTGTCGAATGTCCAAAATCCACCCACCCCAGGTGCCGAATAACGTGGACGCACTTTTCGGATGAAGCCAATTAAAGGGGTGTGAGTGCAGAAAATTTAGGAAATTATTTATGCAAAAAAAATATCCAGAGCAATTTTATTGTTTTTTCAAAGAATACAAACCTAATTCAAGACTAGTGAACGAGCTCTCTCCAACTGTTTCCTCTTCACCCCTCTGTTTTTCGCCACAACATTAGGACTCTCCTTCTTAGCTTAAGTCAATTTTTTTTTTCGGGGTTTTTCCTCCGAATCCTTCTCTTTTTTGATGGCATGAGCTGATTTAGCAGCTCCTTGTTGTCGAATTTTCAACTCACGTCTGTTCTGGACCGATTTAAAATCGATTATAAGGTTACAGAGAATGCATTCGTCAAGTCCTTCCACCTCGTATTCTGTGAATCCAAATCTCGAAAGCGGTATTTTCTTATCAATTTTTGTTTTTGTTTTGCTTCAATCTGTATCAATTCAAAAATTATTCATAAACTCATAGAAACTGATTAAAATCGATTGTTTGCTTGCATTTTGTCTCCAGATCCTTATGGAGTGAGACTTAATCCAACCGTCTGTACTCTACATAAGGTTCGATAAAGACACTTAAAAATTTTCGTCTGAATTTTCCGTGTCAAATTCCGGAAATTTTTATCGTGTTCAAGTTGCACTGAAATTTCAGGAAATCTTGTCATTGAAAATACAGAATTTCGTGGAAAAATGAAACAGAAGTGTAAATTTCCGTTCCATTTTTCCCTGCAAATGAATAGGAAACCAGAAAATTCTAGTAAATATATTCTTGAATTTTCCGGACTGTGATACTGAATGCGACTTAGGGAGAAACAAATCATGAGATTTCAGTTTTCATTTAAAATTCAGTGTAATTTGGCACTGAATATTCCTATTAGATTGGAAATTTAAAAAATGAGTCTTATGTCATTACCGATCAAAAGATACGGGAAGTTAGATTCAATAAAGAACAAAAAGAACTAGGCAAAGAGTATTTTCAATGGTACCATCAACAAAAAAAAAACCTTGGTTCACCAAACATAATCTTCCTAGAAAAACCATAACGTGGATTAGTTAAAGAGTATTAAATAGTTAGACTATTAGACTAACTATTCAGACTTTGCAGGTCTGAATTTGAATCTCAATATTGAACCGTTAGAAAATATTTTAAAAATCTGAAAAAAATTAGAAAAATTACTTTTGAAGAAAGATTCATGAAATGATTTAAAAATTGAAATTTTTGAAAATTACGAGCATTTTTTAGAAATAATTTATAAACAATCAATTTTCCACCACAAAAATCATTTGTTTGAAATGGTAACAAATTTATTCATATTCAAAATTTTACCAGAAATCGATTTCATGTCTAAAAAAAGAAGGTTTCCGAAAGCCTAAACAATTTCAACTATTTATTTATAAACAACGAATGTTTAAAAAATAATAATTCTGTGGAAAATGTAATTGGAATCAAACTGTAAAAGATACTTCGATATCCTTTAAAGACAGACGACTACCTGCGGCGTTTCCCTCGTATAGTGACCAATCTAGAGTTTTAATGAAAATTTATGAATGGAAACAAAAATTATTATTATGGAAAACTTTTTCGCTTGTTAAAACTGACCAAAAAATCCGAACTTTTTATACTTAATAATTGGATTACATGGAATTTCATTAGAATTCAAGCGACAGAGGTCAAACTGAATGATTTCTTTCTTGCCTTTTCGTTCTTATTTCAGTCAAGTTCAACTTGGAGTTTAAAATGCAAATAATTTTGTCAAATGCAAAGCTCTTTTGTCACAATGTCGCATTTTAATAGTCTACTAAATATTGAATAGTTAGACATAGTCTGAGAAATTAACTATTCAAAATAAAAGTAATTGATTCCCCTTTGTGTGAGTGTGGTCATGCTGAGGAAGACTTGAATCACGTACTTTGGCAATGTGTCCGATATGCTGACCAACGTCCTGAATTACTAAACAAACTTCAGCAAGAAAAAATGTACTCTCCATATGATATCAAAGTCTTCCTCAGCACACCGAACGTGCGATCCCTGATGGCTATAGATTTATTCTTGAAAGTTAATAATATTAATATTTAAGTAGAAGAAATCTGTAAATATCGATGTAAAAATTTGTATAACATTTTTATATAGCAGAGTAAACCTGTTGGTTTGAATGCTTCAATAGAAAAAAAGAAAAGATTGGAAATTCACATAAATTAAGGAATTCTCGTCTTTATGCTGGTTAAAGTTCTGAAATTTTACTGAATTTTCAGTGAAGCCTGAAATTTCATGGTTTTTTATCCCCTAAATCGCCTTCAGTGTCACTTTCTACCCGGTGGCTCGGCGCAGTGGGTAAGTTCATTGCCTCACATGCGAAAGGTACCGAGTTCAAATCCAGGCCGGGTAGAATGGTGCGATCTAACCATTTACAGTCATGATCATCATCGCAGTATACCCTAACCAGGTCGAAGCGATGTGAAATACCGATAAAAAAAAAGTGTCACTTTCTTGAAAATTAGTGACCATCAACTGTCCATGCAATTTCATGTTTTTCCTAACAGTGCACGTCAGTCGATCGATCACCCCGAATAAATGTAATTTTAGGAATTTATTGCACTTTGTGTAATGTAAATGAAAATTGTAATTCGTGCGGAAATAACTGCACTTCGAGAGGAAAACAATGAAAATGGACTTCGATACCTTTAAATATTTATTCGTTCAAAATTATGCCGCAACGGTGCTCCAAATTCGGCTATTTGGGTCCCATTCAAAAACTAGTCCCTCCACGGTATAGAATCTTTCTTCCACTGTTGAAAAGAAATTGAAATTTCATAGACAGTGTAGTAGTAATTTTTTAGAGCGACATTGAATTCGATTTAGAGCAGGGGGAGGGGGGCATGAAATTTCAAATTTCACTGATTATTTTCTTCACTCTAATTTCGACCAATCAGTGTGCAATATTCGGGCTCAAGTGACACCTTCACTTCAATTTTATTGTGATTTATTCTACAGTAGTCTTGAATGCCTGCAAATATCCGTGAATTTTGTAATATTCCGGATTTTTTTGAGAAACAAAATTTCAAATAATTCTCAATGTTAATAATTGTCAACGGAATTCATTGAAGGTTTCATGTAGCATAATCATTTTATAGTTTAACATAATAGTCATACTTGGCACCTGACATGGACCAGTTTTGCTTTTTTCAATCAATTTTCGTTTTTATTGACAGTTTTTATTGTTTTTTCATGATATCATTGGTTGCCCAAATACTTCAATTTTAACTCCTGCGCAATAAAAATTACGTATCTTTTCTGTGATTCCGAAGCGAAATGTGGTTATAGGAAATTTTACGGAACTATCACGGAATTTCTCCAGAGTGTTACGTAATTTTTACCTGAATCTCCTGTGAAAAAATACGATATCGTCACTTGAATTTCCTGAGTCGATTCTGTAATCGGTGAGCGAATTGGGAGTTCCGTAATTTTTACTGAACATTTCTCTCCGTTCAGTTTTAAATGTATCATGATTTAATACTGTCTTTAATTTTATTTAAGGACAAAATGTAAACGCATGTAATAATTGACTCACCCTCCGACAATATTCAAGTATTCACCGAAAGTCGCTTATCTCCCAGCGGAAATTATCAAAGTTTCGGGTTGGGGAGCCTCCGGCTTATCCGGATGACCTAGAGCGTTGAAATAAACATTTTAATTTCTTCCGGTTCGGCCAAAATGTTCTCGTCCCTCTTCCCGCCCTCTTGAGAGGAAAGAGCACTCGTTATTAATTAGAGCGTAGGTGTAAAACAGTTTAAGTAACCCCACGAAAATGAATTGCTTTTTATTATCAAGTATCATAAAACATTAATTTTCTTTCAGATTCCCGAAGTCTCTGAGGACATTTGCAGCAGTCGTTTCTATTCTCATAATGATAACGGGTCTCGTGGGAAATTTACTCACGATTATTGCTCTCTGCAAGTATCCAAAGGTTCGCAATGTCGCTGCTGCGTTTATCATAAGGTCAGTTGACAGCAGAAATCAATAAGTTTTGTCAATTTATTGGAGATCATAATTAAAAATCAAACTTGGTGAACAACAGTCGCAAATTGATGCAATTTCATTATTATCATCAAATAAATCAGTAGCGAAGCGGTAAACCGGTTTAAGTCGATTATGACTTTAGATGTGTTTTTCATGAATATCTCGGAACCTATAAGAGATAGCAAAATTTTTTTCACGACCTTTTTTATAATCCACAATTGGCTCTACAAAAAAGGTCATGACAAAAATTTTTCTATCTCCTTTAAATTCCGAGATATTCGTCAAAAACTGGCCAAAAATCAAAATCGACTTAACCCGATTTACCGCTTCGCTTCTGAAATGATTTTCACATTGAATTTATTCAGAAGAATGATCGAAGAGAAAAAAATCATGAAAAAAGTTGTTTGAAAAAATGAAGATTTTCTAAGCAAGCAATGGAATATCGTTTATATACTATTTGACATTTTATACTAGTAAACGTATTTGACTTCTGAGAGTCTTTATTTTCTCTCGTACACTGAGAAAAAAATTCCTTCTGTCAAGTAAATTCACTAACTACAAGAAAATTTACACATTTCATATCCGAATATTTATATATGTACATTTACTTGTGGCAAATAAATTGACTTGGCAGAAGTAATTTTTTTTTCTCAGTGTAAGAAATAAAAACATGCGAATTTACTTTCAACATTTGTCACTCTGTAGAAAATCATTGCCAATATCTTCTAAACGTAACGTATTGGATTTTGATCAAAATAGCTGGGATATAAATTTTTGAGATACGTCATCTTTTGTAAATCATGAAAACGGCAATAAAAATGTCTTGCAATGAGTTCCCTTAAACTTTTTCCCTCCGAAAATATCCCAATGGCTACCATCAAATTACTGGTTTGCATATTCAAATTATTCTCAAGAATGATCGAATCGAAAACCCAATCATGAAACAATTGTTTCAAAAAATTAATGTTTTCTAAACAAGCGAGGAATCTTCTTTCTAGTACTACTCATTATTCTATACTAGCAAACCTATTTTACTTCTCAGAGTATTTTTTTCCTGTCCCTTGACATGAAAACATGCGAATTTACTTTCAACATTTGTCACTTTGTAGACAATTATGCCAATATCTCCCAAATGATTAGATTTCGATCGACATATCTGAAAACCTTTCTTAAGGGGTAACAGAATGCTGCAAGTTTTCCAAATTTTTTAACAAATTTCCTGCCGAAAGTTATCGAGATTTTTACAAATCGAAGCACATTAATCTCCAGGAGGTGATAATGAAGATCGATGTGTTTTGGGTTGGAAAAATATCAGTAACTTTGAGCAGGAAATTTGTGTGATAATTTCGAGGAAACCGTGGCCTTCTGTTACCCTTTAAGAAAAACGATGTCCCCATGTTTACCATCTAAAAATCGATTTGCACATTCGAATTATTTTCAAGAATGATCGAACAGAGAACCAAATCATGAAAGAAGCTGTTTCAAAAAATTAATAATTTCTAAACAAGCGAGGAATCTTATTTGTAGTGCTATTTATTATTCTATACTAGCAAACGTATTTTACTTCGCAGAGTATTTCTTTCCTACCCCAAAATTTGAAAACATGCCAATTTCCTTTCAACCTCGTCACTCTGTAGACAATTCAGTAGCGAAGTGGTAAAACGGTACAACTCAGTTTTGAATATTGGCCAGTTTTCAAAGAATATCTCGGAATCTAAGGGAGATAGCCAAATTTTTGTTATAACCTTTTTTGTAGCGCCAATTGAGTTCTACAATGAATGTAGTTACGAAAATTTCGCTATCTCCTTTAGATTCGGAAATATTCCTCAAAAACTCAACTGGCAGATAAGTCGACTTAAACCGTTTTACCACTTCGCTACTGAATTATTCCAATATCTCCCAAACGATTAGATTTTCATCGACATATCTGAGCACCTGTCGTGTAAATCGTAAAAGGGCCAACAAAAAATGTCTTCTGATGAGTTCCCCTAAACCTCTCCCCTCCGCAAATATCCCCTAAACAAACCTCCGGAAATATCTGCTCCCATATCTGATTTCATTTAATTTCATTGGACCGCAGATTGTGCTCACTGTTTTTTATCCCAATTGAATACGATTGATTTATTCTCCCGACAATGAGACAGGAAACGTGTCTAGCATACCTTCCCTAACAAGAGCGCTCGAGGCCACGTACACAAAACGAGGAGGTCTGGACATCTCCAGAGACGTCCACCGTTTGATTCAATTTGTCGACGACTCCGAATCTTCTTTCTCACGCGATTCACCATTTTTCTCCACAAAGTTTAGAAGACTGCACGAGACAACTATAAAAGCGAAAGCTTCCGGAGTTTGAATCGAGTTACAGAGACTCGAAAATTTGATTATAAAAGTTGTTATCAATTGAAACGGCTCTCAAGGTCAATAACAGTATTTTTTATTCTTTATTTTCAGTCTGTGCTTTGCTGATTTTATTTTCTGCGTGCTGGTGCTGCCGTTTGATTCAATCAGATTTGTGAATCATGGGTGGACAGATGTGAGATTTCTCTGTGTTCTCGTGCCGTTCCTCCGATATGGAAACGTCGGGGTCAGTCTCCTCTGCGTTGCTGCTATAACTGTCAATCGATATATTATGATTACTCATCATAATCTCTATGGCAAGATTTATAAGAAACATTGGATCGCAGCTATGATTCTGTTTTGCTATGTGTTCTCGTACACAATGCAGGTGCCCACGCTGATTGGTGCCTGGGGTATGTCATTAAAGATTTAATAAATTATTAGAATTATTGTGACCAACTAATTCTTCATTGGTTTCTCACAATTGCTTGAATTGCACTATTGAAACTTTTTCGCTAAAATTTCCGGACAAATTTTGTACACTGTTAGAAATTTCTCGAAATTTCAGTCACAGCGTCATCTGAATTTTTAATGTTGTGAAGTTGAATTCAATTTCAAATGAAAACATTCACTAAATTTCTCATTCATCTTGAAAATTCAAGAAAATTGGGTTTTTCATGTTAAACAATCATTGACTTTTCAATGAAAGCTTGAATTTCCAAACCCATCGTGAAAATTGAACATTACATACAATTCAATTTTTACTAGATTGAGAATTCAGAACAGTTGTTGCCTGAATTTTCAAAATTTTCAAGTTTTTTCAGTGCCGAATGCACCTGAAATTGAGATGTACTTGAATATTCAAGAACTTAATTGATTTCTCAATGAAGAAATATACAGAAATTTCATGTAACTTTGTCGTTGTTAAAAATTTCAAGCTTTTTCACTGGAAATTTCAAGAGTAATTTTCGAACAGTGTATATTTGTTAGAAAATTTTTGTCATATAATAATTCCACTGAAACTTCAAGGAATTCCCTCATTAATAATTCTAAATTTTATTGAAAAATTAATCAAAAATACAATCTTTCATTTTTATTTCATGGAAATCACTAGAAATTGAAGTAATTCAGATAGATATATTCGTGAATTTTCAACTTATTGAAAAATCAACGTATTCAACGGGATTCTGGTTGTCTTGCTTCTAAAAAATTTGGAATTTCATTGAATTTTCACTAAAATTTGACATTTCAAAATAGTCAAATGAATTCAGTTACTTTTTCTAAGCAACTAAATATTAACGGAGTCATAACTACACTCTGTCTACGTCAATTAATCTCGATTCTGTGAATAGGGCTTTAAATAAATTTTCCGTTTTTATAAGAAGAATAAAATGACAATTTTGAAAATTGGACATATCATTGACGTGAATTGAGGGTAGATTGGGAATTCAGGATAATAGGATAAACTTCCCAGTAGATGGACGTCTAAGAAAACCGCCCAGTATAGGTGGACGTTTGTTTTTTAAGTGAGAATGTTTTTTAAATTGAGAATCATAACAGTTTGTGAAAATTCAAAGGAACCATTTTAGATTTCAGTATTTTTTTGCGTAATTTCCTATCCAAAAGCAGCTTGTCCATCTATACGGCAGTGACCATCTACTGGGTAGCTTACCCAACTTACTCAAAATTTCATAATTTCGATGTTCGTATGGACCTAAAAATAGAGATTTTAGTGAAAATGACATAAATTAACTGATTCGTCATTAACAACAACCGTCGAGATCTCTTTGATTCAGTAGTTGTAAAAGATTTCAATTTTATTTATTCAAAATTTCGAGAGTAATTAACCAACAGTATGACAAATTATATTGACGATATCTCCCAAGGGAAAATATTTGAAAGAATTCATTAGAAGAAGAAAAAAACTTTATAGATAATTTTGCAAAAATATAAAAAAGTCTTCGCGTTTTTGCAAATTTCTGAACACAGAAATTGACATTTTCAAAGGCATGCAAATGAAATGTATAATGTGAATAGTTATAATGATTTTGTGACCACCAATGGAGGAGATAATTCGCTATGGAAAATTTCCAAATTCATTTTTTTCTTCCCCAGGCAATCTATACTAATATTAGATTTTTAAATTACTGCAAGTCCGACTTTAATGAGGAATCAATGCCCCCGGGAGAATGGATTCGTTCGTCGGTTTTCCTCCTCCTTTTTATTCTGTATTTACTCAATTAGACCTCTCTATTTCAGGTGAATTTGATTACGACTCAAACCTTGAAACCTGCTCAATAGTAAAAGACTCGAGGGGTTGGAGTTCAAAGACCTTCCTCTTCCTGACTGGCTTCGTAATTCCCTGTATAATAATTATTGGCTGCTACGCCAAAATATTTTGGGTCGTTCACAGGTAATCACTCTTCTCCCCAAACAAATGCCAAATTCTATTCTCGAAGAAGCTAGTTTACGCGATTGGATATTTTCCCAATCACACGAACTAGTCCAAAGTATTCAATTCGATTGACGCAGAATTATTAACCCTGAGAGAAACCCGCCGCGCGTCGTTTTTCTTTAATTACAATTGATTGGCTAACCGGAAAAATTGAAAAAAATTTGACTTTGTTAATGGAAGTGTCTAAAAAATTATAGTAGTTTTTAAAACAACATATTTCCCAAAATTTCTAAAGACAGCAAATGATTTCGCACAGATGAATCATTTTCTCGCATGTTAAATGAAATTGCTCATGACGCGACGTTGCCGGAAACTCGCTAAACGCGCCCGGGCAGTGTAGAGTGAATTCGGCAACGTTAAAGCCTAAATAACACGGCGGGGAATCCCCGCGGAAGTGATCAAGTTGAAGGGTCGGGTTTGGTGACCAGACTAGAGTTAACGCGAACTCAAGAGGATACCCAGGTGAAATTTGAAAGTCTTCGGTTAATGAAAATAGTTATTGAGTGACTCATGATATATCATGGGATACCTAAAAAACAAGATCAATTTCAAACTCAACCCATTTTGCCCCGTATATCAAGCGAGAACGTAATTTTTATGTTTTTGACTTTGAAATACTCCTCGCACTATAACTTTCGTCCAATCTCAACTTTTTTTTCTTCAAAATGTTCGTTAAATTCCATAGAATACAACTGAGTATTTTTTCTTGATTATCTTACATGAATTGTCGGAAAACCAATTTTTTGTAAAGAATCCTTTATTTTACCTCGCGCGGTTAGAATGTTATTTTTTGAAGCGGAGGGGGAGGGAAACTTTTACTTTAGACCTTCGCCGAGGCGAAAATTACACTGATAGACTGATTCATTTATTCCGAACGAGATTCGTTAACTATTAACGAATGGCGAAGTTGAGTATGACCAAATGAATATTCGTTAACCGTTAACGAATAGTTCACTTGAAAGGTGAAAATCGTGTCAATCAAGGCCCCTCAAATGTGCATTTGTTAACTATTAAAAAATGAACATTTTTTAAAATTATTATTTAAAATGCTGGAATCCTAATGGTGGATTATTCGCACTGTCGTTGCTGTTGTACATTTCTCAATTTGTTACACTTATTACAATTGCTCTCCGTTTTACATTTTCGATTTACATTCATTAATGTATTTACAAATTATTTCTATGTATTTATGGTCACTTGCCTCTGCAAATTTTGTCGTAGTATAGGGAGGAGTACATGTTGAGTTTTTTTAAAGTATATCATAATTTGATTCTCTGTCGATCGTAATTTGGGCAATGCCACAGTACATGATCGAAGTCTTGACATTCTGCTTCGCATGGGCAGCTTGGATCTTTAATTATACCCACTCTCTCCCAGGAGGCTCCAATATGGGGGTAATTAGCTCCTATGCGATTTACAATTAATATCAACTCCCTGGGGAGTTTGCAGTCCTTGTACCAAGGCCTTGGGGACTCCTTGTAGTAGACGTCGAAGTATGAATGAACATTTGGTGAGACCGAGTAGACCTTCGTCTTCAACCCAATCTATTCGTTAACGATAACTAATCCTTTCTATCAGTGTACGGTTCTAACCACGGAAGGTAAAATAAAAGATCCTAACCCACGTGCTCGCCTTCGGCTGAGGTGGTCACGACTTCTTTATTTTACCTCCCTAGGTCAGAAATCTAGAGGAGGATCGGGCAAAATGGGACGTGTTGAGATCTTTTCCAATTGTCAATATCTTCATTTATAATTGAAAACTAGCGAACGGGTGCTTCGCGCCCGTCACTAGATTACTTTATATTAATTTATTTTATTGTTATCTTTACAATTTTTCTTTGTAGTTAGATTAAATTAAATTTATTGGATTCTATTCCCATTGTAGTTTGATAGAATACATAAAAAAATAGCAAAGAATAAAAATCGGAGATGGAAATTTTTATCGGATTAATATAATGTAATATTGACAACTAGAGAAGATTACGAAACGTCCCATTTTGGCCGACTCTCTCCTACTATTCCTCATTACGTTTGTAAACACACTCGTCCAAAACTTTATTGCAATCAAGAACAGTATCCTCACTCATGGACTCTATTAATGTATTATAAATGTTCCACTAGTGCAAAAACGCAAAACACCCCGGAATCTCCAATTCCCCATTCCAAACCAGTCAAAAACCTTAATCTCCCCACTTATCTATTCTTAGTTCGGAATCGCGGATGCGTAAGCACGCAAGTCCAGCTGTAAAATCACCTCACACCCCAGGACGTGATACAAGAGAGATAAAGCAGCGCCGAAGCGAGTGGAGGATAACAAAAATGGTATTAGCGATATTCTTGAGCTTCGTTGCCTGCTACTTGCCAATCACGATCGTTAAAGTGACTGACCCGGAAGTCAGATACCCCGGTAAGGCATTTTTTCATCCAACCCCATGTTTACATAAACTTTTTATGCACCACAAACGATTATTAAATGGTCCATCTACTTTTACAGGCGGATACATATCAAAAAGTATTTTTTTCACATGCAATAATGATTATTTTTCACTGTTACAGCGGCTCACGTGACGGGTTACTTACTTCTCTACTTCGCATCCTGCGTTAACCCAATAATCTACGTTATAATGAATAAACAGTACAGACAGGCGTATGCAGGTGTAATAAGCTGCTCGAGGATTCGTGCTACATTGACCCCCCATGGAAGCAGTGTCCCGGGACAAAATAACTATGGCCAAGGTAACCACATCGTTACGGTCACCAAGCTCTGATCGTAATGAATACGATGCGCACGGCTCATTATTGCGTCGTAAGTGAAGGGCAAAAATGTTGGGTTTTTATTGAGATATCAGGCCTGGCATGGTACTCACACAGCACTATTTTTATTATTTTCATTGATGGATATGTTACGAGAGGAAAGTCAGGGAGAAATTGAGGTGAAGCTGTTTGACGAGGAAGTTGTAAAACGATTTGAGTTCATTTGTCACATCTTTATCGTTGATGGTGAATTATCTCTATTGTGAGTGCAGTTAAAAGAGATTGACCCAAAACTTTCATAACTCCTAAAAATTCTCTATAGAAATGTGATTACATTTCTATTGGGAACTCGGATGGAGGCGGGGCGTAGGTCGCGGGCCTACTTGCACGGGTTCATATTTTCGCCACTCGACAGTAGCTCCTTGGGAGAGATAGCATTCGCAACCTATCTACACGGGTTCCTATCCCGTCCGATAGATAAAGCATTCGAGTGCTCGACTTCCCAATAAAGAATGTTTAGGAATTACGAAAGTTTTGCGTCAAAACTTCAAATCAAATCATTAAATTCTCTGTAGAAATGTCATCACCCGTTGCACGCGCTGATCCTTTCCATCATTCAAGTCACGAAACCGTCATCATTATTCAATGTGAAAATTAAAAAGTGAAATCTATTGTATTTCATACGCTGAGGCACACAGAAAACCCTAAACGTAAATTACATTTTCGTCACGCTGTGACGAAAAGTGAACTTTTCGGCACGCTCCGCGTGCCTAAAAGTCCAATTTCCGCCACATTGTGATGAAAAATATTGTTCGTAACTGGTAAAAAAATGTTTAGCTCGTGGAATTATATCAGTCGCCTTCGGCTCGTGATATAAACCTCCCACTCGCCAAAAAACACTTTTTTGCACTCGTTACGAAATATACTATTTGCTAAGCTAATTTACGGGTTACTAAACGTAATGCACGCTTAACATCAATATGATGCCTGGTCGCATTTTTTCCGTCATGTAAATCCGAATTTAGGCTTCAAAAAGGCGTATTTAACGGTCAAAATACAAACGTAAATTACGCCCAAAGCGTTTTTTACGTTTCACTAAGTGGATTTTACTCTTAAGAAATGATAAATTACAATCTTAATAGAAAAGTATTTACGCTTATAATACCTGAATAAAAATGTATTCATTTCAAATTTTTTGTATACATCGAGCTCCACCGTCCTTCATACAACAATGATTTTTCACTAAAAACGGGAGTTTATATAGCGTTCCACATCTTGTGACGTCAGAGGATGTTTTTGGATAGGATTTTGGAGTAGATAGGTGTTCAGAGCTTATTTTGTAACTTCAAAAAATACATAACAAGCAGGGGACAGCGAGCATATGATAGTGAACATATCGCCGAGTGATGTCTTATTTTTTTCGCCATCAATACATTGATGACGGGCTTCCGAGTGGTCTAAAATATTATATTACAAAAGTTTATAGCTTTACAACACTAACTAGCAGCAAAAATTTCAGATGGTTACTGCCATCCCCATGGATGCTATAAAAATTCCAATGTTTCGATTAATTCGTATGAGCGGTATACATATTTTCTGTCTAAAGTTCAAGTTGATATCTCGTTTTTTGCACAATCTAGAGTGTTTACAAAGTTTTTTTAATGAAAAAACGGGAATATCTCGACAACTTTGTATGAATGGGGATATATGTTTTGATTGATTTAGCTAGAAGACATCGAAACGAATATTTTGAAAAAAAAATGAGTCGAAATCGGTCTACTAGTTTTGAAGATATTTGCGGAAAACGATTTAAAAAAGAATCGCTTTCTCTCAAAAACTATTAACTCGATCGGGCTAAAATTTTGCACAGAGCTAGTCCTCATTAGGCTCTATAATCTGGCAAAATTTTTGTCAGATTTTTGGAATTACTTTAGCCATTTAAGGCATGGGTGGATCATCTTTCGAGTGTGATCTTGGCTGTTTTTTTTAATTTTGATAATCTGAAATGATCTCCAATTGCTATTCAGTTTTACATAGCCTTGGGTCTCCAATAATTATGATTGTACAATAAAAAAACCTTGAAAAAAAGCTGAACATTTTCAAAGAGCGGTTTTTAATAATATTGGGAAAGAAACTCAATAGGGGGGAAATTGCAAATTAATAATTTGATGTATCTAATGGCTGTTAGGTCGTTAGTTACCATGATAAATTATCCATTTACTATTTCCTCTCTATCGGACTTCTTTCTTAATCTTTATTAAAAACAGACCTTTAAAAATGTTCAGTTTTTTTCTACTGTTTTTGATTGTATAATCATAATTTTTAGAGACTCCTGCGTAATGTAAAATGTAATTGAAATTGTGATATATTTTACATCATGAAGATGGAAAAATAAGCGAGATAACATTCGAAAGATAATCCATCTGAGCCTTAATTACTCAATTTTCTAAAAATTGACCACCGGGAAGGTGGTGGGGGACGCGGTCTCATACAGACATGATTGCCAAACTTCGCATTTTGACGTTTCAGACCATTCTACATCATTTCCAATCAAAATTAGAGAATGTGAAAATCGCAGGATTGCAATGCTTTTATTCGGAAGCAAAAATGAAAAGAAAAATTGAGGAATTCCACTTTGCCGTTATTAAGATATCAATGATAATAGACAGTCTGTCCCTATACCCATATATCACTTCCATATATCAGTATCGAAGCGGTAAAATGATTGAAGTCTGATTCAGATTGAAAATGACTAAGCTCTTATCTGAGTTTTCGAGGAATATCTCCGAATCTAAGGCCAAATTTTCTTAATTCCCTTTTTCGTAGCTCCCAATTTGCTCTACAAAAAAGGTTATAACAAAGATCTTGTTATCTGCTTTAGATTCCGAGATATTCATTAAAAATTAACCAATAGTCAAAATCGACTTAAACCATTTTACAGCGTCTCTACTGATATTTAAGTAACAGAGTTGTTCTATTCGACGCGAATAATTTGTCGATTTCTCACAAACATTTCAATAAAGAAAGTCTTCTGATATATTCTCTTATCTTCGCTCATTATCATGATGATGATGGAATTACAGAGGACTCTATATTCGGCTCGGTGATTTAATCTTTACGCCTTTTAATTGCTAGATTATCTCAGTAATGAATAACAGGGGAAGAATGTCCCCAGTCTCTCTCTCTCTCTCTGCAGTTCTGAAAGTTTTCTGCTCATAAGATCGTTCGACATTCATCCTTAAAACCACTCGTTACCGAAATAATCACCTGTAATTCACCAAAAGAATTCGTATGCCGCTGAACTCGTTTCACAATTTCATAGCTCAACTTTCCTCACTAAACTCTTGGTTCAAGGAAGAAAATGTTCGGAAATGAAAAACAACGATATATGATAATCCTGAAAGCCCTAGACAAACGAAAAATGCAACACTATTATAAAACAAAAAATTACCTTAATAATGATAAAAAGGCTCTTTACAGTACCTGTTTTTCAGGACCGCCAGATGCGAGCTAGATAATAGACTGTCACTTTACTACTAACGCGGATCTCAACGGTAGCATGTTTTTGATAGACCGGCGAATGAAGCTAGGTACTAATTCCTCAAATTTACGAGCCAAACAAAAAGTTGAAATTCTGTAAAGAAACAAAAATTTAATCCCTAAATCCATCACCAATTGTTGTCGATTAATTCATTAACCCAATTGTATTTGTGATAATCCGCTATTCGCTTCATTAACATAAGCATAAGGGCCATAACAATTCGCTAAAAAATGTGCTGTGATTAAAAACCAAAATAATAAAAAAAATAATGGAATCCAATAATTGGAGAGAATTAATAATATTAAAACCGAAATTGCTTTTCAGTTACAACTTTGACATCATGTACATCTAACATTTTACTCGTTTTATGTCACTCCCATTGTTTTACAATTGCCAGTAAAATCTTTACGATTCGTTCCAGATTATTCCAAGGATTACAGCAAGACGATGGTGTCAACCGTGTCGATTGCGATGAATCCGGTGATAAGAAAGTCGGAGCTTCCGGATGACTTTTAATCGCCAGGAAAACAGCTCAGAGTGTTTACACACTCTACTGAATACTCCACGTTATAGTCTGAATCCAAGAGGACCAACGACAACGGAATTTTATTTATAAATACTTTTGTACTCGTAGACTACTCAGTCTTAGTATTATCGATTAACTTATTTATTTATACTGCGAGGGACTCGATGAACCTCAGCAGTCGTGATTACTTTATCTTCTAGATGAAAATATGGAAGTAAGATGTGCCAAGAATATTTTAATGATAGGTTGAGTGTCTACAGTACACTGAGAAAAAAAATACTTTTGCTAAGTATATTTACTAACTACAAGAAAATTTACACATGTCTTATGCAGATATTTATATACATTTACTTGTGGCGAGTAAATATACTTGGCAAACGCAATTTTTTTCTCAGTGTAGGGAACTTGCATAAAGCTCATTTCTTTCGAATTCCCCTATTCACACATCCCTCATAATATATGGATAGCTAAACGGCGAAAATTATGGTGAAATATTGCCCAAATGTCTTATGATAATTAATTGAAAATCAGTCGTTTCCGGTGAAAATTTTTCGGGCATGACGTCAGGAAGACGGTCAGGTAAAGCTTCATTGGTCGAAAAAGAAGGAGTGGGGAATTGTTGTCCTCCATTGGCCGAGGTGCACCTCAAGATTGGGTTAGATCGGCCGAGCCATTCTGTGATTGATCCAGCACTCGACCGTCTGTGTGACGTCATTAGCAATTTGAAAGCGTTTGAAATCTTCAACTTTTAACAATTCATTATTAATTAATGAGCAATATTTCGAACGTTTGTGAATGAAAAATGAATTATTGACGTCCCAAACTTAAGATTAGAAAATTGAAACAAATTCACGCCAGCTCCCTGTTCTTTGATGAATTGGCGAAATGAGGTATATCGAGAAAATTAATTCCTATATAGCCTGGGAAATATTGACTCGAGAATAAATGCCAAAATGCTCTTTTTGAATCTTTTTTAAGATTTTTTACCACAGGTATTGAATTCTCCAGCGAGATAGTGAAGTTTTGAAATTTCATGGGCGTTAATAAATCAATATTTGGTAAAAGAATGAATTTTTGGAAAAAATTCAAATGAAAGTTGACATTTTATAGATTTTTCTTGGCTATAAGAAATATTTCTTGAGGTTGTCCTGTAAAAGTTGGTGAGATATGTTGAAATCTATCGAGAAAAGTTTAAGTTCAGGAATTCGATAAGAATTATTCAGAGAAAATATATAAAAATAATAGGGTTGAAGAAAAATATTCAATGACTTTTTTTAGTAGCCCATGAAATTTCCTTCGAATAAAAAAAAATTCAATCTTTTATACCCGTACACTGTGAAAAAAATTTGGTTGAATTTTCCAGAAAAAGATCTTGAATTCGATTTAAGGGGTAACGGAAGCCGTTGAAATTAACTTATTTATGTTCAAGCTTTTCTTTTATTCTATGCAATATAAATGGCCGAGATTTTCACCACTTATTAAGGGAAGCATAAGGGAGGGTTGTAACCCTTCATATATAAGAGAAAATTTTGCAATTTTTTTTATAACAATTTTTTTTGCAAAAATAAAAAAATGGAGGGTTACATACCCTCCCTCATGGTTCCCTCAATATGTGGAGAAAATTTCAGCCATTTTTATTGAATAGAATCAGAGAAAAGCGTGAACAAAATCTGCTCTTTTCGACGGGTTCCGTTCCCTCTCAAGGGAACAATGGAGTTTTAAATTTTTCTGAAAATTTGATCAGTCTCAGTTTTTAGCAGCAGGAAACAAGAATTTCTCAAATTTACATGAATTTCCAAGTGAAAATAAATATTCCCTCCCAAATTCCCTTTTTTTTCGGACGGAATTTTTGAAGGAATTTCTTGAAAATTTAGAGGAATCTGGAATTCAAGGAGAGATTTCTCTGATGTTTCATCAAATTCCCAGGAATAATTAAACTGAAATTTACAGTTCTCACGGATTTCTCAATGAAATTATCAATGTTCAATGACAAAATTCCTTGAAATTTTAGTGAAAATATTACTTGTTAGAAATTTCCAAGATTCTTACCGGGAATTTCAGTAAAAACTTTTTAACAGTGCTCGTTTAAAAGATATTCACGAATATCTTTGCTAGATTAGTATTAAATTTTGGTCATTCCAAAGAAAAAAAAGCTTCCATTCGGAAGTAAAAACCTGTAAATATTGAGCGATTTTATTATCGACGATTTTACGTATAAATTTTACACAAACTTGTCTATTTACATATTAATTACGGGTACTCGTTTATGTACAAAATTCAATGATGAAAATATACATTTAAAAAGTATAAAACTATTTTTGAATGATTATATCTTCCCGAGTGAGTGATACATTTGTATTACATTTGTACATTTGAGTGGAATGTTTATTTTTAGAGCAGTGGAATAAATTTCCCGGATGGGGGCGACAATTATTGTCAGTTTGTTGATATGTCGTGTTTGTGTTGTACTGAGTTGTTTCAATAATTCGTGGAGGATTATGTTTCAATCGAGTGGGGTTTTTACCCCACTCTCACGACCTACAGCATCCGGTTTTGTCAGTGATAAGTGGCGTCTCGCGGAGCTTTATCGAGTCTCTTATTTCGTCCTCTATCTTTGCTTTCAAGACGTTCTCCACGAGATAATGCATTGCGTCGTCTGAAAATAGATTCATAAATTGTGTCTGTATTTTTTTGCGATTTTGGGAGCAGAGATTTTATTACAAATGCGGAAGAGTTCACTGAAAATTGAGGAAAACTATTTCTTATTCCTTTCATAGATTGGGCAACACATGAATCTCATTCACTTATTTCTAGACAGATTATTTCATTTTTTTTCAGCTCGAAATGTAAAATGATTAAATTTGAGTTTGAACCTATGACCCTTGAGTTTCTAGTCTGAGCCTTTATACACATAGCTGTCCACTCGGTATTCCCTAACGTTTATGTCTGATTATTCTCCTTTTACATGAATTTTAGACGATTTACATAACATATGAGGTCATTCTTGTTAAATCGGCGAACTCCTGACCCTCATCCCCTCGAAAGTGAGAGGAGATTTTTTCATATGGAAGGAACCCTACAGGGTCAAGAGGCTAGAAGACTATTTCCTGAATTTTTTGATGATTTATTTTTTTTTCCTTTTTTTGTCACAACTCTTTTTCAAATTCAATAACGAAGCGGTAAAACCGTTTGTGTCGATTTGAGTCGATTTCGACTATCGATCAGTTTTCCATAAATATCTAGGAGGCTAAGACAGATCGTAGAATTTTTGTTATAATCTCCTGGCTGAAGGCTAAATCGACTTGAACCGTTTTACCGCTTCGCTACTTAATTAGCCGATTCCAAATTCTAAGCGATTAAAGTTCCGCATTTCTTCCCAACTGTATCAGCGTACAGAGCAGAATTTTTGTGTTCCCATGTTTAAATCCATAAAATGGCAAATTCCATTGAACATTATTGAAAAATTCAAGTTGTACTTAGTATAACTCAGATTTTTGGGCTATAGTGATTTTTTCTATTCAGTCTCACAATAAAATAACGCATTTTACTTCAGAATTGTTTTAACTTCATCGGGAATCTGCAGGATATCTTCTGACAGTGTTGATTGTATCCCCGCGAATTATTTATTCAATTATTTTACATATTCGTCAACTAAAGACGATTGAAGGCAATTTCATATCGATAAATTTAATGCACATTCACAGATTTCACGATTTGTGAAACAAGAATGAAGAAGAAATCACGTTGAAGTACTTTCTAAAAATGTTTAGGTTTCTGGACATGTACTTTATATCCCTTCATAAATAGTTTTGTGGAAATTGCAAGACAATCGAATTTGTAGAGTAATCCATAGGTATCTTATGGACTAGTCCTGCAAATGTTTAGATCTGTCATGTGCAAACAGCCTTTCCATGCAATTTTCATCAGATATTTGATAGAAAAAAGTAAATAATTGTTTAATTACTAGATATATGGCTTATTCCCTCAAAATTTTTGCGTTAAAAATTCTCGAGCATCAATTCTTTTGCGTTTTTTACGCGTTACTTAATTTTGCTGCTCATAACAAAATGCAAGAAGAAAAAACTTAGCAAATGAAAGCGCAAGAATTTTCACACAAAAAAAATCGCAACACAATGAGTTGTGCAAAAAAAATCTATTTTTTTCTATGAACTATCTATCGAACTCGATGAATTCTTTGCCGTACGACAAAGATATAGAATTTCATGAAAGAAATCAGAAAAAGAACTGATAGAATTCCCATAGAAAGATAATAACATTTTGTGGCGAATGCGCTAGATTTGCTATTGAATTTTTTTCATATGCGCATGTAAACATAAATACGCCTCCAACAAAAAAATGATAATGGACACTAAAAATAGAATGAAAATTTCTGCAATGCTCCTCAACTCACCAATATTCATATTTTCCTTGGCCGACGTAACATACCACTTTCCAATTTTATTCTCCTTACAGAATTTGATTATTTGCTCAGTAGGTATTGCTGCATGTTGAATATCACATTTGTTTGCAAGAAGTACTATTGGAATATTAGAGCCGTCCTGCAACGTGACCTTTTCACGCAGGTCACTGAGCCACTTTTTAACTGATTGAAAAGTTGCAACTCGAGATATGTCGAAGACCAGTGCTGCTGCAACTCTGGAGAAGAAATGCCAATAGTGAGGTAATTGAAAAGAGTTGAAATAGATACATAAGAATTGTTATCAATGAAAGTATCACATGCAATAGATAAGAGTTGACTCGATTCTATTGATAGGTGATTTATGAGGGCTCACGCGTATTTGTAGTAGACTCTTGTCATATATCCGAATCTCTCGTGGCCAGCAATGTCCCTGAAACCATGGAACAAAGTTAATCATGAATTCTGCAGGAATTACTTCTGCGATGGAAGTAGAACGGTCTAAAACAACTATATGAAGTATTTTACAAATATCTTCGGGAGGATGAGGCTCCGAGAAAAATTTCGAATGACTTTTTCGCAGAAACTTCTATGGTCTGCAAAAACCGTTTTTGATATTCTCGTCTATTCGTTTCAAATATATTCGTTGGATGATGGATCAACATTCCATGTTTGGAGTATTTATCGGAGGAAGTTATCGCGGGAAATCATATGCGTTGGAAATAAATGCCAAAAGCTCTTTGTCATGGACTATAACGAAATGATGCATTGAGTGTCCCTCTGAATTTACTAGTTTTAGAAAAATTTGGGCAGTAATATGCAGGGAGAGGCAATAAATTAGATTTTGGCAATATTAAAAAGCATTATCTCCGTATATTGTTCAAAGTTTAACTATATTTAACAAATTTAAAATATTCTAGAATTAATTAGCTAAATGTTTCGATTGATGATGAATAAAATATTTGATAATACTGAAATGTAATTTTTTAGTTACCAAGCTAATTCTAACTATAGGTACTTGATTTTCGATTATCCAAATAATCGTCAATCTTCCTACGTAAATTATTGGTCGATAGAATATTTCGAAATTTAAATGGACAAATTGATGGCTACTTTAATATTTAAAATTTTAAGATTTATGTTAAAAATTGACACCGTCACAATTTATCGGTAATTATGATTGATTGATATGCCTATCACTGGTAATATGGTATAGTATATTGTGCATCAACGGCGGCAAGTAATCAGTACTTTGCCTAGAGCGGAAAGTACTCACTTCTGGATTCATTATTATGAATAACAAGATCAATGCGCGCGCTCTCGCGCGCGCTGATCTATTCATTTGTTGAAGTGAAGAAATGGAATTCATTGAATTTAATTTTCTCATGAATACCTTATAAATATTGATAATGAATCAAAGAGAATTGGACTAATGATTGAAGTGAATAGCGAAGTAGAGTAAAAGAATCTATAAAGAATTTTTCATTTTCAATTAATTATCTTCAATTTTTTAAAATAATCGGTCTCCATAAAAGGACAGGATTTATTAATTTCACCGATAATATATATACATGTGAAATATATATATATTATATATATATATATGACGTGAAAAAAAAATTACCTCTGAAGAATTTGAAATTATGTCACTGAAGAATTTGAAAATGCCGCGTGTTTTTTTTGTGAATAACTTCGTGTCATATATTGACCAATCAGAATTAAGGATCAGCGGTCAGGCAGTTTCGAGATATTTCGATATAAAACAACTTCACGTTTTGTTCATCTTCAGTAAATAGGATAATAGACTCCCGATTAAACACAACCCAACCTAAATGTTTCGATTCATATTAACCCATTGAACAGCCTCACAGTACCCCACTCTTCACTATTTTAAGGTAGTGTACATGCGTAGCCGGGCCTTCCTTATGGCGCTCTAATGCATTGAGGGGCTCCCTACCCATGTAGGGCAATACAATGTATTTGAACACCGAGCCAAACTCGGCGTCGAGTTCTCCGATAATCGGCTGCGATCTTCTGCCGATGTTCCGCCGAACGTTGAGACGTTACTTCGGGCCACCATAGGCACCGATGTACGCCCAACATTAGCGTCGATTGTCAGCCAATCATCGGTGAAATAAAATTTTTAAATCGTTCATACATATTAGTTCCAATAGTTTATAATCGATTTATAACTGTTCTTATTCATTCCAGTGAACCAAAAAAGAAAAAAAGAAAATAAAAAAAACATTGCACCCGGTGGGATACGATCGCGAGTCCTTTTGATCTGTAGTCAAGCGCGTTGCCCACTGAGCCATCTGAAATTTTTTATGAAAATCCATTTTTTTCGGGTATATAAATACCACATGCTGTTTTTGTTTGAAACCCCGAATGCGATTATCAAGAATTAATTAACTCATGTGTAACTCCGATGAGAAGAGTTAATTAATTAATCTACTATTCTTAAAATATTTAGTCTTTCATTCGGAGTATCGATATTTATATTCTGTATATTAGGAAAGAGGATGGATGCATGCTATCCATCCATTTATTCGAAAAATAGTCTACAAATATTAAGTCGGTTCCGATCATCGGCCGCGGAGCAGCCGTTCATCGGGGCCCCGATGTTCGGCGACCGAATATTGGACTGATGTTTGACCGTATTGTATATATCGGCAAATCCTACATGGGTACCCTTCCCACACCGATGATTCGTCACTTACGCTGTTCAATGAGTTAACTTTCGTTTAGAATTTATTTCAGATTTTAATCTTCAAAATTCGAGTTATGCCTCGAGTTATGCTTATATTACTTTGAAAGTTATTTGACCCTCAACGCAAGAAAACTTTCCTTTAATTGTACTGAATAGACGCTGGTGTCTCATTTTCCCCTGCTATTCCCTATTGCAAGACATATCTTCAACGTTATAGAAATCGTACATTACAGGTGCACCGTAAAAAGACTCGTTGACGAAATGAACTTTACCCGCGCGAGCCGAAGGCGAGTGACGGTGAAGTTCATTTCGTCAGGGAGTCTTTTTTACGGTGCATGACTTGTACGATATTTTTCATGCTTCTGTGTGGCAAATTCACGCCCGTGACCAACCTAAACTGCGCGAAAAATGTGAATTTGCCGCGCAGAGGCATGAAAATTTATATTTCCTTGTCGGTCGATATCTGGAATGGGTGAGCAATCGATTGAAAGAACGAAATAAAAAAACAATTAATTGGCTTTTAGTTGAATTTTACGAGTAATTGGAATTTAATGATAGGCAATGCGAGGAATACGAAAGTGCCGGACATAAATATTTACAGTTCGCATTAAAAATTCAAATGAGCTTATGGAACACTAATCCCCAACTTCCGCGTTCCCTAAAGGAGCGTCACAGAAAACCCATCAACTTCCCGACACCGATACTTCCGATATACATACCATAACTGCAGGTTTATTTTAGTGTGCGGATCCCAGTCCAGGGTTTTGATCGCAAAATCAGCGCCGATTGTGATCTTGTAATTTGACGAGAATTTCCCTGTAAAAACAATTCCATACAATTTAAGTTTTTATTTCATTGTTGGAGAGCCCTATTTTTTTTATCGGTGCAAGATTATTTTATTGTGAAGACACTAGAGCCGATATTACAGTGGCTTGAGAGACGATATATGCAGGAATTAATATGCAAATGTAATGCAAATCCTATCTAAGAGTCGAGTAAATTTAGAACAGATAGGAAAACAGTTCTGCAGCAAAATGATGAAACTCAAAAAATGTTATCTCAATTATTTTACGATTATTTCCGGAACAATCGGGAAGAGTCGGCTGTCATTTTGGTCGATATCTACGAAAAAATCAAAATATTGGAGAATATTACGACCAAGTCTGAAAATTTCACGAATATCAATTTGGAAACATCTCGGAAAATATCAGGTTTGTCGAAAACTATTAAAAATCCTTCCTCATTGCCCAGAAAATTTTCAACAAAAATGACCTTTTCGCGTCCTTGCATAGCCCCATTAGTTCCCGAGATATTTGCGAAAATGTCACTTCACTTTCGAATATCGTAATGAGGAATTCCATGCACATCCACATGGAATGTATCAACAAGCGTGGAAAGGCCTTTCACATACTTCGCATAATTCTCTATAGAGAAGGTTCTTCAAAATTTTTCCGTAAATCCATTATTTTTCGAGATATTTTTTAGAAGAAGTGAATCACTTTTGAATGTTGCAATCCAAGAATTTTATCCGCATTTCAGACTTACATCCGCAATCGAGGGATTTCATCGACATCAACGCATAAAGATCTTTAAAACAATCAAGTATTTCGAAAACCGTCAAAAAATCTTTGTATTGCGCATGAAATTTCCCGCAAAAAAGTCCTTTGACGTTTTTCTCTAAATCAACGCGGAGAAAAATTTTCTAGAAAAATTCATGTGCTAAGCATCATAAACGAATCACAATCCGCACATTTGGAGAAATTATTGTATAGTAGCACCAGAAAACTTCTCGTGCGGCACCAGAAAAATTTTGATACCCCCAATAATTTTTCCGGTGTTGAACGATAATTTTTCTAGTGTTACACAATAATTTTTCCGAGTGTGCAAATTGTGAATTTTTCTATGATTCATGATTCGCGAAAATCTCCGAAACTATCAAATTTATGGAGAAACGTGAAAAAACCTTTCCCACAGCCAACGAAACTTCTTTAAAAAGAATCAATTTTGAACATTGTACCGGAATTAATTAGTATTATATACTGATTTCCAATATCCCACGACTCAAACTTATTATTGTACCGGAAATTCGTGCATTCCAGACCCACGAAATCGTGAATATTTCGAAAACCGTTAAGTTGATCGAAAAGCCCACTAAAGGCCAGCTATGTTACAACAACAACAACAAATTTGAATATTGTAGGACAGATAAAAAATTTCGAACCATCAATTCTCGGATATTTTTGGAACTCAAATTTATCGAAAACGCCAGAAGATTTTTTTTGTCACCAACAAAATTCTCCATAAAAAAGCATTTCTACGGTTCTCTCTATATGATAGTTTTCACGGTAATTCGAAAAATATTATCTAATCAATTACCAACCATGAAAAACGGTCCGAAATTTCCATGCGCAAGAGACGACAAACATCTCTAAAACTAACAAGTTTATCAAACAAAAGTCAATATACCATTTCTGTAGAACCCCACTATTCCCCATGAACATTTGTGACTTTTCTTCACTAAAACTCTTTAAGCATATCCAAGTACTTTGACTATTTTTTCTCCAGTGAGAAATCCTTTCTACTTTTGTAACGGAACATTTGAGCTTTCATTTCAACCCCATTTGGCCCCAAGTTTCCGGACATTTTACAATGATTTTATTATTTGAACTTTGCATATCTGAAATTGAATCTCGATATTGAACCTTTGGAAAACATTTTAAAAATCTGAAAAAAAATGGGAAAGTTGACTGTTGAGAAAAGATTGATAAAATAATTGAAAAATGCAATTTTTTAAAATTATGAGCATTTTTGTGGCGGTTTGGTGCGGGTATCAAGAATAATAACTCGGTGTTGACAAGAACTGTATATTTAAAGGCAAGTGTTTACATGCGTACTCAAAAGTAGACTGGCTTTTTTGCCGGGGAGCGTACGAGTTTATATACCTTCGTTTATCGAAGGTTCGAGAATTGTCCTGAAATTTCGTGAGGGACAAGGACAGACGTTTGTCTCGAATTCCGACGATTGAAATATTCGAGACGCTACGAAATAAATTCAAGAAATTAATCTATTGTGGCTCGCACCACAATTTTTTATAAATAATTTATAAACAATCTATTTTCCGCCATAAAAATCATTTATTCAGAATAGTAAAAAATTTATTCATGTGTAGAATTTTATCAGAAATCGATTTCATGCAAAAAAAAAAGTTTTCCGGAAGTTTAAACAATTTCAATTATTTATTTATATAAACACCGAATGTTTAAGAAAATAATTCTGTGCAAAATGTAATTTTAATGACGCTGAATAGTCACGATTTGTTCAAATTTTTCTCACGCAATTTAATTTACAAATTTGATAATTGAAAAATGTTGAATCTTTAGTGTGGTCTCTACCAAACTGTAAAAGATACTTGGATATCCTTAAGGTATATCCCATGACAATCGGACTCAAAAGTTAGTCCCTATAAATTTCCGGAAAAATTCCAAATAACTTAATTTACTGCATTCTCACAAGTTATTTAATTTTCCTATTCTCATGTGTTATTCATACAGGCAACAATAACTGTTTGAATCAAATAGGAAATTATTTGTTAATCAATTTTTTTAATCAAAGAAGGAATGGTTTCACGAAATTTCCATTTTTCAGAGTTGAATATCGCAGAAACTATGCAGTCCAAAATTTCACAAAAAATTCACCGTATTCAGAATTTATCAATCTATCGCGGATTAGTTTTTTAAGAAGATCATAAAAACAGTTTTCTCATAAGATCAGAAAATCGAGTTCATTATTTCAGTAGTGAAGTGGTCAAACGGTTTAAGCCAATTCCATTCTAGCGCCAGTTCTCGATGAATATCTCAAATTCTAAAGGAGTTAGCAAAATTTTCCTAAAAACTTTTTTTGTAAAGAAAAGTGAAGACAATCGAAAAAGATCTTATAAAAATTGCGCTATCTTTTTTAAATTCCGAGTTATTCAACAAAAACTCAACTGGTGCTGAGTCGACTTAAACCGATTGACTAGTTCACTACTGATTTATTATCTTCTAAACTGTGTAGTCCAGCTAGTTAGCATTCTTTTCAATAGCTGGGGATTATTATAAATGTCATCTATAAAAAATATGGAGACAATCTTAAGAAAAACGTGTTTTCCAGAGATATACCTTAAATGAAATATACTCGCGAAAAATCTAAGGATCTGCATTTAGCCTACATTGAAAATTATTTGCGTCGAATAAATTACTCGGAGTAAAAAAAATCTTTGAAAATAATAATACCTTCCGTGTACCTCCTCACAATCGCAGTTTTCCCTGAAACATAAATAAATAATCACAGTCACGATTCCCCAGGATTGCAGAAACCCACCGAAACCGGTTCTGATGCAATTTCGAATGTAAAGAATCATCGAAATTCCACGGCATTATTTCCGCCGCGGTTGTAATCTCGATGATTTCAATGCCGTACTCACCGACCCCGTAATCACCGATGATAAGAAACTTGAAGAGCAACTCCTTGTGATTAAAATTCGAGAGAATAACATCGGAATCTCTCCGCGGTTTGCGAAAACTCATTTTTCTACGGTTTACACTACACTCTCTCTCACAATTTTTCGAATACTAATTGTTATTTATTGGGATGTAAACAAAGTCACGTTTTCGGCGCGCAGGTGTTCGCGCCTACCGAATGAGGTTATACGAGTGTTGAGACTGCGATCATGTCGACAGTGGAGGGGTGCCGATAAGCCACGATCGTCGGCAAAGGGAAAGTGTATCTTTGAGCGAACCCAACTGGCGACTGTTCGACTGCTTCTGATATCGTTCGTTGGTTTTCGGCCGTCAAGAGCGATGGAATCAGAACAACAATCGCTACTGCGACGTTCAAATTTTATCCCCCCAACTGCGGCTGTTATATACATCGCGATGAATGTCCTCAGTCTGTTATCGATTATTTCATCCATTATTTCTCGATTTTATCAGGCTCTCTAGGCCACATCAAGCGGATCATTCTCATTTTTGAATTATTTCATTGCTTTTCATCTTCTGATTTGAGTTGAAACGCGAAAGAAGGATTTCAGCACAGGTGCCGCCATCTCGCGAAGGTCGATGGAATTTTTATGGTAGTTTGAATTCGATTGTTGCAAGAGGACGAATGAAGCGATTGTTCGATCGTTATCCTGATGTGGATATCTTAAATAATCTATTTGGTTCATTAACGCTTGAGTGGCCGCGCTATGGGGAAACCACAGCAGTTTTTCGCATACTCGCGTCAATCAATTATCGAAATCTTCTGAAAATTTGACTCGCAGAAAATCCCCGGGTTTAGCCTTTAAATGTCAAAATTTTGTACCTAGTCAAATTAATTTTAGGCTTATCACTTTACTATTCTTATTTGATATCCACATTTATTTTTCCTTGAAGGTTGAAAATTATCGGTAAACTACACTACAAAAACCAGGTGTCTGACCACTATCTGAATTTAAGATGTCAGATGGTAAAAAACATCTGAAAATGATGGTAGACATTTGTTGCGTCTGAAAAATTTCAGGTATTTATTGTCAGATATGTTCTGTGTCTGGAATTCAGTTATTTATGAGCGATTCAAGCATTTCACTATTAAGATATCTCACCTGATTCAGACGACAAAGTCCATTCAAACATTAATTTTTACGATATTTCTCATGTCTGAAAAGTTGACTCATCCACTGCAATAACTAGGTGTCTGACAACCATCTGAATTTAAGATAGCAGATGGCAAAAAACGGCTGAATCTTTAAGTGTTTGAAAACCTAATTGATGTCTGAAAATTTCAAACACCGCATGTGTCTGAAACTGATGTCTGTATCTTAATTTCAGACATCTTGGTGTCTGAAATTGAAATACTTCCATTGATTCAAACACATTTTAATGTCTCAAAAGTGTCTACAAAATCGTCCCAAAAGTGTTTGAAAAGTGTCTACAAAAGTGTCTGAAATTCAGACATTAGTTTTCGCAGTGTACAAATAAACAATTTTTTCCAACTTTTATTCACAAAAATGGTAAAATGCACAGAGCTGTGAATCGCCCCCCGTGCGATCAACAACGTTCGGTGAAGAGCTGCGATTACTCAAGGGTTAATGAGCGGACACCACTTTTTTGAAGTACGAGAACGATCGCGCGCTTGAGCGCGCGTGTTAAAGACAAATCGTGACACGAAAACCAAAAGCCCAATGAAATTCGAGGAATGAGCATTACGCTACAGCTTACGGCATATGTTCTTTTTAGAATAGGACAGTAGAGGCTTCGTATAAGATACCTTAGGGACAGTAGTAGAGTGGAATTCCGGGAACCGCTATGCACCCATTCCGCGCACCCATAGAGAGGAGAAAAATAGGGATTAGTGGGTTTCAAATAAGATATCTCGCTCGTTGCGCTCGAATTCACTGAAATTTTCATTTTTACTGAATGAATATCGATAACTAATCAATTTATATGTGTTTAATGTTTTGAATTTGTATTGTCCGCGTTCCCTTTTCTCTCTAAACATAACCCCGCGTGATAGAATGGCAACTGACGTTGGGGGATTGTTGGTGGACTCGAGAATAATCACAGACGAAAAATCACGATTTTTCGATGGGAAAAGTGAAAAAAAATCGATGTATATTTCCATTACTTGAAAAAAGTGGTGTGACCCCCCCTTAAGGTCATTAGACCCTCATGATCACTTCGTTCGTCCCTCCCGTTTGATCCTTAATACCGTTTGATCTTTATAACTAGTCTCTTCCCGTTGAAAAAAGATCGGGGCCATAGGTATCTTATAAGAAGCCCAAGAAACATAAACATTTGGGAGNAACTAGTCTCTTCCCGTTGAAAAAAGATCGGGGCCATAGGTATCTTATAAGAAGCCCAAGGAACATAAACATTTGGGAGGCGATAAAAGTGCCGAGAGTGGGGGGTAGGCCTCGAGCGCTCGGAGCGCGAGGTATCTTATAGAGAGGTATGTTATACGAAGCCTTTACTGTACTAGAAGCATTTGATGGAAAATTTAAGATATAAAAATACACTAAGAGAATAATCGACATAATCTCACAAAAATCATTTCTCGAGCGAAAAACATCGCATATATATTTGATCAATTTATGGTAGGTTTCAGACAAGAAATCGGTGCTCCTCGGGCTAAGGACAAAGTTACTGAATGAGAAGGTGTCTTTTTTCGAAATGAGATGATATTCCTTAAAGACAAGAATAGTTTGACAAAAGGAAAAGAAGATATTGCTTTCTTTTGAACTCAAAGCGATTGAGCGTAAGCGACGGTTATATTTTTTTAATATCTGGAGCTTTTCCTCTACAGAAACTCTCTATTCATTCAATATGAAAGTCTCTGATTCATGATTCACTAAATCGAAGCTTTTAATATTTTTAGTCATTGTTTCATCTTTTGACACAAAAAACCGAGTTCTTGTGGCAAGAAATTCTCATTTTATCATGAAATGTTCATGTTCAAGTCATGAACCCTTCACGGAAATCTGACATTGTCTGACAGGTTATACAGAATTCTTATCCGAAGAAATTTGTCCTCAAAAGATGAGATATTTGGCGCAAGAAATTCAGTAGCGAAGTGGTCAAACGGTTCAAGTTAATTTAGTCTTTAGTTGAGTTTTCCAGAAATATTTCCGAATTTAAGGGAGATTGCAAAATTTTCATAATAACCTTTTTTATAGTGCGAATTGAGTGCTACCAAAAAGGTTATGAGAAAAATTTTGCTCTCTCCCTTAGATTTCGAGATATTCATTGAAAACTGGCCAATCGCCAAAATCAACTTAAACCGTTTGACCACTTCGCTACTGAATTAGTTTTGTGATATTATGACGATATTTCTCTCAGTATACCTAAAAAAATGGAAAATAAAAGTATAAACCAATCTATTATCAACTATAAACTAACTATGTCAGCTTTACAGTGTAATCAACGTAGACTAACTCAACTAATAGTGCTCAGAGAACGAAAAATTGTTTTCAATATTTTATTATCAAACACGATTGACACCCATAACTCGCGTTTCAACCAACAGATTTCAATTTATCAAACACCGACATTATTTATGTCTTGCTATCTCTGATAATTTATGGGAAGAATTTTTTTTAATCTCTACGTTCATACTACAATGAAATTCCATTTTAAAAGGTTGAAAGAATAAAATTTTGCCAATTACGTAACGATTCATTTTCTTCATTTTTTTTCAGCCGTTCTCACAATTAAAATAACTATTTGGAGCTATGCTAAAAGATAGGCAATGTCTCAAATGTCTTTTATTTTTTATTTCTTCATTTAAAATGTCCCATTTTGTATTGAAAATTTTTATAAATCAGGGAGTGACCAATTTGGTATGGAATACCTCAAATAGAAATGAAAACAAAATTAATTTGTCATTCACGACATGATTTTAACAAAGGTTTTGTGATTTTTCTTTTTTATCATTATCTTACATCGCTCGGAGTCGGTTTTGAGTATACTGCGAAATTTGATCCAGAATTTAAATGGTTAGATCGCACCATTCTACCCGCCCGATACGAGTTTTCAACAGTTTTGAACCCGTCGAGCATGTGAGCCAACGAACTTACCCACTGCGCCAGTCTAACAGGCGGCTTTATGATTTGAAAGTGATTTTGTTTCTATGAACTGTGCAAATGATTCTATTTATCTAAATATTCAATTTTAGAGTAATTTTGAACCTCTAGAAGAGGATAATTTCAATAATGTACCCATCATAATCAGAATTCAAATGAAAACCCTGATAGTGACAAAATCGTGTGCGTATCGCCATCTCACACATTTTCCAGAAACTAAAACACGTGGGAAATTCCTTTCCTCTTCAAAAACTAAAGCTATTTTTGCTAATAAATTAGTAATATGCATTCGAATGTCATTTTGCACATCATTTTCATCTATCGTACATCATTTGTCGTTGTACATTATTTTGTTCAATTGAATTATATTTCTTCTTCAATCAATTGTGCGAGATTTCTTGTGAAATTTCTTGTATAAATCAAATGAAAGAATGACGCAATCTATATTATCTTGGAGCTTTGATAAGACGGTATCAGAAGAACTTTCCCCATGTATTATTTAATCAATTTTACGCATCATATTTGAAGAACTATCGGACAAGTCACCTTCATGGAAATTTTAGAAAAACCCTAAATTTGCAAACATCATCATAGAAATCAGTCCAACGGATATAGCTGCGATAACGATCTTCTAACTCCGGCGGGATGGCATTCAAATCAATATTTTAAACTAGGAGTGAATTAATTTGAAGCAAGATATCCAAAAATATCTCCGGGATTCTCATTTTCCAAAAAAATAAATTTTTGAAAATTATTCTATAGATTAAGTCGTCGAAGGGACATCGGAACAATTTTTCTAAGTCATCATTGCATGAATTCCTAACATTTTTTTAGTTATCGTGGGGCACACAAAAAGACTTGAACTTAAATTACCTTTAAGAAGTCTTTTACTCTCGAAGTTGAGCGAAAATTACGTTCCAAATCGTCGTAAATTATGCTTGAAATCACGTAAATTAAGATTACATAAACGTCATTTATGATTTCGTATTCGTAAAATACGGCTATTTGAACGTAATTTACGGATTCGTATTCATGAATTACCATATTTTTTTCCGTATTGTACGTTGACTTATCCGTAATTAACGATGAAGAAATAAAATGATTTCAAGCTTAAAATACGATTTTTTTTTCATAAATTATGCATAAGTCAATCATGAAATTTGTTATATTAAGATCGCCATATACCGTTCTTACTGTAACCGTAAAATATGCCGTTTCGAGACTAAAATTCAAGATTTTCATAACGGAGGAAAAGCCACCAGACATCATATTGGCTTTAAGCGTAAATTACGTTTAGCGAACCATAAATTACGCTACCAAAACGTAATTTACGTTTCGGTTTTTCTGTGTGGACAACCGATTTATGAAAAAATGTTAAAAATCAATATAAGAATTTGTTATGTCCCAGATTTGGTCAATTGCATTATTGTTGAATATGTGGACATACAGCATTGTCAGCGTGACACTTGCTAGCGTAACTGGATTATGCTGACCAAGTGATGAAATATAAACAATCAATATATTATTTAAGAGACGGGTCTGCACAGATCAGACCTGAATTGGACTCCGACGCGTACAAAAATCGTAAACTCTTTGTAATCATTCAGATGACGCAGTTATTAAAATCAAGTAATAAATTCTCATATTTAAATGCCGATAAACCATTGGTGAGATTTATCCCTTCAAGGCTAGAACCTACTATGATTATAAGTATTCCCCTGTTGATAGATAAGACTCAACAATACTTCATTTGAAAAAGAAAAATGATTAAATTCCATCGATTCATTAGCGATCAATTAACGAAAAACTTTGTCACGTACATAGGAGAGGGTAGGGTAAAATGGACCTTTAAGCCTTTTTAAAAATTATTCATAACTCAGAAACAAATGTATCAATAGAGCTCAGTTTAGGCTCATTACAAAGAAAAGAATTGTTCTCTGTATTGAAAAAAAAAAGATTAAATTCCATCAACATTTCAACCCGTCACTAATTTTAAAAAAAAAGTCAAAAGTGTCCATTTGACCCCAACCTCCCCTACATACGGATCATAATGGTTTGATATAACACACAAAATCCATCTTAAATTTTAACGATTACAAAGCCTCCACTGAGAATCAGAAATAATTTCAAAGCATTTCAGAAATCATTTCAAAGCAAAAAAACTGAATAAACAAGAAAAGTCCGTCCATGTCATAATCAGTTGGACGAAATGATTTGGCCTCAATGTTTTCAAGAATATGGATGCAAATCGTTATTGGAATTTGATGGTGACAATAAAATGTATTCAAGGTCATAATTAGCTCATCCCCGGCACAGCCGACCTGTGAGATCACCTTTTGTTTCTCCCCTTCCACTTTTCTCCTAACGACCCATATCCAGTCGAGAGTTGTCAAATGACCGTCTGTTTTTGGATTGGTTTATAAACAATAACAAAAATATCCCAATTTTTCAATTATATTTAGCAGTGAAAAAAAAATGGAATTGACCAAAAAATATTTTTAATGTGATAAAATGCTCAAGTTTCTTATCACCGCAATCAGTGAACATTAATGGTGGTCAAATGACCGTCTCATGACGGACCACATGGCGCCCTTGCAGCTCGAGTTTAGTTTTAGTCCACTATACTGCAGTCGGCATTGAGTTGTAGAGTAGTGTCATGGCGCAGGCACGATGACAGATAGTGCTTTCCTTATCGTCGGAGCGACACAAAAAAAAAACGGCATGTGGGCCGCACTCCGAGCTTGTTCGCGAGGTGTACCGTTTTTCGTTGTCATCGGTATATTTATGTTCTTTACACTCCTCAGTAAGTGATTCATAAATCATTTATTTTGTACAATTGACACTTCGGCGTGAATGCGTGTGCGCGTATAAAGGGTATTGGGGTCTAATGCGCAGGCGCGCTCCGATATCTCAGCGGGAAAAATGAACGAATGTTATGGCGGGGTAGTTTGCTCCAAAATTCAAATTTCGTGATATCTAGAGATTTTGGATGTTATTGTTGACTGCAATTTTTTGGCACGTTCTCGAAGGCATCACTTTTATTTCGTTAGGCCCGATAAACCGCTATTCTAATGCCCTGGTGGAAAAAACTCCTTAAATCCTATTGGAAGAAAAAAGGGTAATTGGAAATAATGACGTTATTGCCGTTGACCCATTATTTCCGATTCAGGTTAGTAGCGCAATGCTGACACGTATGGAAAAATCCGATAGGAAAACCTAGCGAATTGTCTAGAAAATTCTATTGGGATTCTGGAGAAAATCTATCGGATTTCTATGGGATTTCTATTGGAATTCTATTGGAAAATTCTAGTAGTTTTTTGTGCTGATTCTATTGCATATTTCATACGGAAAAGTCAATAGATTTTGAATTTCTTTCTCCAGAATCCCAATAGAATTTTCTAGTTAATTCGCTAGGTTTTCCTATTGGATTTTTCCATACGTGTCAGCATTGCGCTACTAATCTAAATCGGAAATAATGGGTCAACGGCAATAACGCCATTATTTCCAATTACCCTTTTTTCTTCCAATAGGATTTAAGGAGTTTTTTCCACCAGGGTGGCGCCCTTGCAGCTCCAGTTGAGTCCACTAAACTGCAGTTGGGTGATGTAACCGAACGAGGTGAGGTTAGAATCGCGGTTTTCGGGCCTAATGACATAAAATATTGTATGTCACACGGCGATACAAGTATTATCTGACGAATGTGATTATAATCTTTGCCTTCGGCCCGGATTATTAAGCCACATTCGCCAGATAATACTTTTATCATAGGCTGAAGGCCGTCGGGCAAGGGCCAGTCACAAGCTTCTTGTGACAAATTACGTTAACAATAAAATAAATACTTTTATCACCTGATGACATAAGCTACTATTATGACACTAGATCCGATAAACCGCGATTCTAACATCATTTCATTCGGTTAGAAACGAGACGAGACGAAGTCCAGAGAGCCCCCCCCCCCTCTCTGCCCCTCTGTATATTTTTTTCCGTGCAAATTGGATTATAGAGATGAGATAAGGCGAGGGAAGACGAGAGAATCTTTCAATTCTCAACGAGACGACGAGAGAATGGTTTCCTGTGGGAGATGTGTACCACTGGCCGAAGGTGCTACACACCTTCCACGAGGTTTAAGGGTCAAAAAACACTTTCCACGAGTGTCGAACCCTATTTCTCATCAAAATGTGTGGGATAATACTTTTTCATCACTTGTGGGTAAAGTAAAATTTTACCCACGCTCCGCGTGCGCAAAATCCCACTTGTTACACATTGTGATGAAAAATAGAGTTTAACACTCGTGGGAAAAATATTGGTTGACACTCGGGAGAGTAGCACTCACTTTCAGCGAGCGCTACACACCTCGCACGGGTCAAAAAACACTTTTTCGTCATATCTGCACGGAAAGTTCGATTTTCCTCCCCAAATGGGGGGAGGAAAATGGTTTATTTCATTCCTCGGATTTCTGTTGTTTTTGACGATCCTCGGAATGACATAACCCACGTTCCTCCCTATACGGAGAGAAAAATTCCAGAAAAATTACTGTAGTAGCACGGTAAAATAGGTTCATTGGGACGGACCGGGAAAAATTCCCGGTCCAGCACCGGAATTTGTACCGTGCGCTAAAGGCATTCCTGTAATGTATTTCGAATTTACCGTGAAAAATTCTTATACTCCATTTACCGTAGAAAATTCTTCGGTGCTGACACGGTAATTTGTCCAGGTCCGTTCCAACGAACCCATTTTACCGTGTTGGCACAGTAATTTTTCTGGAATTTTTTTCACCGCGTGCATTCACGAAGAAAAATCGAACTATACCGTGCAGTTATGATAAAAAATAGTATGTCTACCTAGGAAGCAAAACAAGACATTCAAACCGGCTTGTTTACCGCCCTCGGCTTCACCTCGGCCAGCAATCCACACGCAGATTGCACTGAGAGAAAAATCTGAAGTTCGATTTACAATAAGAAAATAGTTCAGGCATTTTGGTGAACGATACGATTTTTTTTTATGCGGCACATCACATTATATTAATTTCACAAGCGTAATTTTTGCAAATCAAAATGCAGTTAAAATAACCAAAGTTCAAAACTAACCACGACAAATCTGTCGTGAGCAGAACTATAAAATACTTGCAATGACTACATTGCATTGTAGTAATTACTTCTCCGGCCATAGTTACCGTAACCCATGAAAAATTATTGAGGACTTTTTGACTATAATTCGATGGTGATGGAATATAGTCAGAAAAATTATATTTTTCTCTCAGTGTGGAATGACCTGTTTTCATCCCTTGGTGCACAATCTACTAATTTTATCATACCGGCCGTAAGGCCGCACTTTACTCCTTAAATAATAAAAAAATTGCTTACTAAGCAAATGAAATATTATTTGCTTACGTACACAGAAAAGAGGAAATCGATGGGGAAGTTATTCGTTCAACCTGTAATGGGTCTGTAATGGTCTTTAAACTTATCTTCTCTTATCACTGATACGGAGAGAATATAAAATTAAAAATTCCTATATGAACATAGTAATTGAAGACCATGCCGGAAAATTTTTTAAATTTGGCTCCCTCCAAATCCCTGTAAAAACCCCTCGGCTTCCTGCAAAAAACCCCTCGGACCGCCAACTTTACACTTATGGAAATTCCGGCTCACTCATATCGAAATATACTATTTTGACAGCGATGTTACGTTCAGTGAGTTGGCGACCTGTGCCTTTTCGTTTGCAAGTAAACGAAAAAACTTTTCGTTTACTTTTTGTTTACGAGTAAATGAAATAGTTATTTTCATCACAAAGTATCCACAAAGTAGGCCGAGCCGAAGGCGAGATTATCACATTCGTCAGAAAATACTTTTGGACCGTGTGATGAATGCAATTTTTCGTCAGAAGGCCCGTAAACCGCGATCAAACCGAGCGAAGCGAGGTTAGAATGGCGGTTTACCGGGTCTTCTCACCAAAAGACACTTTTGGGCACGAGGTGAACATAGCAGCATACTTCCTCGATGTACAATCGATTCGTGTGATAAGTGAGTTTCTCGAATGCACAAAACTCAGAATCTAATACTTTTACATCCAGTCTAGATTATATCGAGACCTAATCCACGTAAAAACTATTAAAATATGTGAATATAACTCCTTGGTTATTATTATTATTATTATTATTATTACTTTATTTTTTTTGTTTTTTTTCTGTATTTTTCTTTTAAATTTTCTTTTTGTAATCTTCACTTACACACATGTAACATCGCAGAATGAACCGAAAGGTTCCAATGCATATCAATAAAATCAACATAGCAGCAGTGTCAAAATAGTATATGTCGATACTCATGGGAGCAAGTGTTTGTTCAGCCGACCAGTCCCTTATTTGATTTTAAGTCTATTTGATGTTACAAGAAGGGACCTTTGTGCCCCTGCGGACCCTTGCGGCCTTTAGGGTCATAAGGGCCATAAGGGTCTCAGGATACCGCAAGGTTACAAGGGTCAAGAGAGTCAAAATTCTTTATTTGATTATAAGTTTATAGCCCGAGCCGAAGGCGAGTAATATAAACCTCCCAAGAGCCAAAAAACACTTTTCCCATTAAAAATACCAAACGATATTTTTCATAGTGCTTCGCGTGGCTAAAAAGTTACTTTTTCACCCATCGTGATGAAAAAGTTTTTTTAAGAGTAAGCACGTGGGTAAGAGTCCTTTTTTTATCTCCTGTGGTTAGAACCGTTTTTTCCATCTCGGTGTAGGCGCAAAATCACATTTCCAAATTGAAATGAAACTTTATGCTCGCCTGCACTGAGAGAAAAATCTGAAGTTCGATTTACAATAAGAAAATAGTTGAGGCAGTTTTGGTGAACGATACGATTTTTTTTGTATGCGGCACATAACATTATAGTAACTTCACAAGCGTAATTTTTGCAAATCAAAATGCAGTTAAACTACACCAAAGTTCAAAAGTAACCACGACAAATCTATTGTGAGTAGAACTATAAAATAGTTGCAATGACTACATTCCATTGTAGTAACTACTTCTCCGGCCACAGTTACCGTAACCCATGAAAAATTGTTGAGGACTTTTTGACTATAATTCGATGGTGATGGAATATAGTCAGAAGAATTATATTTATCTCTCAGTGTGGGTGAAAAACACAAACTTTCCTTTGCAGGTGTGTTAAAAAATAACTTGGGCAATTTGGGCGGGGGCACAATATACAATTATCCAATTAATCTAAATACCATCTCATTACATTACAGTATACTCCGATCGATTAAAATGGGACAGCGCAGAGGAAAAACTCGAGCAGCTGGCAAATACAGTAATAGAACAAGGTCAATCAATCGACAACCTCCAGCGGACACTGACAGATAGAATAAACACATTTAGCCACAATTCCCCAACAATATTCGCCATCACTCCGACATTCACTAGACCCGTTCAAAAGGCGGAATTAACGAGATTGGCACAAACGTTTCTGCACATTCCAAACTTCTACTGGATCGTAATCGAAGATTCCATCAGCAAGACGGAATTGGTCAAAAATTTCCTGACGGAGAGCGGCTTGGTTTATAAACACCTCAACGTCGTTACTCCGTCGGATTTCAAATTGAGAAAAAACGATCCTAATTGGAAGAAACCGAGAGGAGTAGCACAACGGAATGAGGCTTTGAAATGGCTGAGGCAAAATTTTAATTCGACTCACAATGGAGTTGTTTACTTTGCTGATGATGATAATACGTATTCCCTCAAATTATTCAAGGAGGTGGGTCGTATTCACGGATATAACTAATCATATACTCTTAGGAAATTACCTTAGGAATTTCAAATAGAATAAATTGAAATCCTCAAGAACTAAATTTAATTTTTCATCAATAAATCTGTTATTTTGTGAAATATTGAATGAAATTCCTATTTCCGGTTTCTACGAACATGAAAATGATTGAAAATCTAAGCGTCTAATGTGCTGAAGTCTTAATCAATTCGGAATTCAAGCTATTATTGAATATTTATTTTAGCTTTGTATAAAAGAAGTCAATTTCCTCGAATTTTCAAGATTAATAAGAATTGTCATGAACGATTTGATCTGAACGTAATCTTACTTACTTTTTTTTATCATTAGACAAATAAAGCATCGTATAGTTTAAAAAAAAACTTCGATCTCATATCCTAAAAACAACAACTAATTTTTACGAATTTTGATGGGAAAAAATTCTAATCATCTGTTAACATTGCAAAAAAGGTTGCATACCAAAATTATAAAATTTTCAAAAATTGAATAAAATAACTACGGCATAAATATATATTGAATATATGTGCAATAACAAAGTTTCGATATTAAAAATCGAAAATATTCACTGCTTTAACTCCTTACGTATATATCAAATGTTGAAAATTGCCAGTCTCTTTCGAAACCAAATTCTGAAGGCCAATATCTTCTGTAGCAGATATCCAAATAAGTTCATCAAGTGTAGTCTGTTTACATAAAAATATAAAGAGACTTTTCTCATTGCTCATGAGATTTTCCATAAAAAATGTTCTTGAGTATTTTCAAAGTAGTATGAACATAACTTCAATTTTGAAGCTTAAAATCTACAATAAATTCTAAACGAAAATTAATATAAATGGAAACATTCATGTTGACATTGTGCTCAATGGGTAGTCTAGTATTATTGATATTAATTAATTTAGAAGTGCAAAAATAATGCAGAGACTTATGAGAAACTAAATTTTTCTAAGTTAAGGAGAAGACTAAAATCTCGAAAAAATCTCCAAAAATCACAAAAATTAAATAAAACTTCCCTAGTCAAATGAGGGACTATTGTTTAGAAAATAATTAAAAAAAGAATCTGATGAATCCATTTCTTACACTCATCAAAGTTAGAATTCATGGGAAAATTATCAACGATGAATAATTTTTTTTTGCTTTTTGAACTCATTCTCACACACGTGACACTGAACAACTCAACTGGGATTGATTACCCCAGAATTGATCAATTTTACGTTAAAAGATCAAGAAACTTTTGTTGTATCTCACATAATTTCTCGCGAAAGAACTTGTCTCTATGAACGCCTCTCAAAAAGCAAAATAAGAAGGTTTCCATCAGTGTTGAAAACCATTCCCATTACGTGTATCCCCATTAGATTGATTCTCCTCTTCTTCAGATGGCGAAGATTAAAGTGGTCGGTGTATGGCCAGTGGGTTTAGTGGGTGGTTTGATGGTAGAGCGACCCATCTGCGATCCAGCAACAATGAAAGTAACGGGTTTCAATGCTGCATGGAAGTCAGAGAGAAAATTTCCCTTAGATATGGCAGGTTTTGCCATTAGTCTACGAGTGGTGCTTGAAAAGAAGGACGCATGGTTCTCATTCGAATCGAAAAATGGATATCAGGAGACCGACATACTCGAGCAGATGGTCACGAGGGATCAGTTGGAGCCATTGGCTGATTGTTGTACAAAGGTACCATCAAATTTCATTCACTCCTCTATCCTATCTATTTCATCTAACAGTCAATACCGTATGACTCTGTACAATTCAATTCATTCTGTATCATTCCAATTGCTGATTCTAATCTTCAGGTGTACGTCTGGCATACAAGGACTGAACCGCCCACCTTGACAGACGAAAATCGACTGAATAAAAAAGGAAAAAAGTCAAATGTCAATATCGAAGTATGAGCTTCCAATTTATAGATTAAGAGTAGATTAAGGATTAGAGAGAAAAACTATTTTTCATGCTGTGGCATTTGACCTATCTACGAAACTAGGGGGAATATTAATAGGGATCGATGGAAATTTTAGCAACATTCGAGATCCTAAAGGGCTATTCAATTATTACGCCACGCGTTTTGTGAAAATTCTAGACCCTATCCCCCCTCAGTTACGAGCCATCACAAACAGGGACTCCCCCCCCCCCC